CCCTCACCCCATATATCATACGACCGTCGCTCCCTGAGCGACGTGCCGGAGCACCGCCCAAAACCCACCACCAACACCATCACTCAACGGCCTTGTAGTTCAGGCCGTGAACCTAACAGCCGAGACTAGTTCCTCTCTCGGCTACAATCGTTTGATTAGAAGACGAGTTCAAACAGGCGCACCACTTATCCATCCTACACTCATCAACATCTTGACGCACGGTAAACCGTGCTGGCACGCCCGCGCACAACCGCACCGCACCCAAAAGCAGGAAACCGCGTGTCAACGCATATCCTCTCGGCCCGGAACTCCAGGCCGTGAGATTTGCGCGGCAGACAGGAAATAGCTTCTGTAAGTATCCAAACGAAGCATGTCCAAGACGGCGATGCCATAACCATACTTTGGAAGTGTGCTTTTCAACACTTGCACCCCCAATTTTGTAAGCTTGACTGAGGTTGGCTTCACTGTCAGAAGCCAAGTCCAGATAGTAGAGTTTGCCCCTCCTAGTACCACAACCAATCGTCTTGCTGCTGAGAATGTCCTGAAAAACACAATGAGTTGGCCAAAAAGTTACAGTACAATTCAAAGCCGTAGTAATTTGGGCAACAGACAAGAGATTATGATGTAAGGATGGAACAATCAACACAGAATCCAAAGTGAGGGAGTCAGAGAGAGAGAGGGAACCCTCCCCAATTACTGTGGAGGGGGTACCATTGACATTAGACACCACCGATTGAGAAGACGGTGTATGAGAGTAAATTTGTCCAGGATCAAAGGTCATGTGATCAGTGGCTCCGGTGTCAATGACCCATGTGTGTTTCTTTGAAGAACTATGCAAAACATAACCTGGGGAACCAGTAGTGGCAATTGTGGAGGAAGAGACGATATCCATTGCAGCGGAATGATTGAAGAATACGAGGAAAAAAGTTTAGGGTTTCGGGTTTGTGTTTAGGGTTTCGGGGTTGTGTTTAGGGTTTCGGGATTCAGGATACGAGGATACGGGTTCGTGTTTCAAGGAATTCAATACGAGAGATTCGATACGAGGAATTCGATGCGAGGGATTCGATACGAGGGATTTAGAGACAACCTAGGATCGATTGCTCTGATACCATGCTAAAATATGAATACGGGTTTTCAATATGTTCAGATGATTTATTCTTCTTCATAATGAGGTATATATAAGAGTTTACAAGAGTGCTATACAAGGAATTAGATACATGAAAGAATTAGGAAAGTATCTCCTAATTATACAAAGATTTATCAATTATATAAAATAGGAAAGTAAATCCCTTAATTAATCAAGGAAATAAATCTCCTTGATTAATTAGGAGACTCACGTCAACATTTTTTTCTTTTTTTCTTTTATGTTCTTTTCCTTTCTTTTCTTTTCTGTTCTATTGTTTTTTTCCTAACTTGTTTCGACTTTCCAAAAAAATAAAAATAAACCAATTCGTTATTCAAAACCATAAATTAGTCATACATCAATGCAGAAGAACTCAGCCAAAACCATTAAATAACAGAAGGAAAAGTTCTGCTATTGCCATGGATGAAAACAACAGGGAAGAGAGTGTTGTGGAGGAAGAAGCTTGGGTAGTGGACTGGAGATGGAGAAGTGCGAGAGAAGAGAGGGAGATGGAAGGAAAAAAATAAAAATAAAAAAAAAGGAAAATTTCAGAAATACAGATGGAGGAAGAGAGGGAGGAAGGAGAAGGAGAGTGCAAGACGGGTTATTAAATGTTGTTTTAAATATGCACCATAGAAACAATCGGATGGTTAAAAACAAAATTCCGTAACAAGTTCGCATTTTGATACTTCGTAATGGAGAATCTCTCTAGATGACATACATAGAAATAAAAATAAGGGTTATTGACCGAAATGGTCCCTTAATTTTTGCTCCAATTTCATTTTGGTCTACCCACTAAAATTTTCATTTTAATAGTCCTCCAACTCTCCATTTAATATCAAAATGATATTAACGTCAAAGTCTGTCAATTTTGCCATTAAATTAAGGAGTAAAACAGTCCACATGTTAGAAGCTCCGCCAAATTAGAATGCTAGCTCCATATGTGGAGAGGTGGGCTTCATGAGGAGTTTTTATCAAAAATAGCCAAAATTTACCCCCCACTTTTAAAAATGTCAGTTTTTATCAAATATTTCAAATATAGCCAAAAACTCACCTAAATAGACACAAATATCCTTAAAAATTAAAATTCACATAAACCTAAAAAGCAAAACCCTACTACACAAAATTTGAATCCGATTGCACTTCATCCTACCTCGTAGATAGGTGTAATATTTTACTATTTAAATTTATGAATTAGTATGAACAATGGATGAATATTTAATTTTATAATTTTCTTAAATTTTTTGGTGTAAACTTTTGAAGATGAGGAAAAAAGCATGTTTTCCCTCACAATTTTTGTAGATTTGAGATGATATACAGTATAGATGCAGCGCTTTTGGTTTGGCCCATGTGAGGATAAAGTCTTTGCACATGGATTCAATACTATTATATTTTTCTATCAATTTTGTGATTTGGAAAACCAAGCTATAAGCATTCTGGTATGGTTATTAAGTTCCTGATCAACTCCCACATAGACACTCCTCATTTCATGCAATGGCGATGCTTTCTACAAATTTGATTGTATGACCTTTATGTGCGAAAGAAAAACAGTTTTTCAATAAGTTGAATATTCAAAACATAATTATTGAATACTAGTGTCTCTAATATAAGTTTTTAAGTTTCTTGGTCCTATTTATGGATATTTCCTCTCAGGTTGCTGCGATAAACACAGCAATGGCTGCTCTCACAAAGACAGTGGGTGTGTTCCCGAAGTCTTTGATAACAAAGTCTTTGCACATAGATTCAATACTTTGATAACATATCCCGTTTGTACATGATCTTTCTTTTTAAGTTTATGTGGGTTTTAATTTTAAAGGGCATTTGTGTCTATTCAGGTGAGTTTTTGGCTACATTTGAAAGATTTTATAAAAACTGACATTTTTGAAAGTGGGGGGTAAATTTTGGCTATTTTTGATAAATTCTCCTTCATGAGTGTCGGGGCTAGGCCTGGGGTTGGGGGAAGAGAGAGAGGCGGTGGGTTTCGTGATAAGCTTTTGATGGGTGAGGAGGTGGTGGTGGCAATGAGAGAGAGAGTGTGTGTATTTTCATCTATACGATCCAAAAACCCATGAGAAGAAAAATATATATTCTTCTTCTTCAAAACCAACCAACCCTTGTGAAATATCTCAATAAGACAAAGATTTTTTATCCCATACAACAATTTTTTTATTTTTTTATTTTTTGATGGAAGGGTGGTTGGGTTTTGGGTCTGGGATCAAAGGAAGAGAGATAGAGAGAGAGAGATGATCATAGTGCACGGTGAGGTTTTGGATTGGAGAGAGATGATGATGATTCGGGTATGGGTTGGCCGAGAGAAGGGGGCGCGCGGGGGGATGAAGTTGGTGATGGTGACTAGGATGTTGTAATGGGTTGGGTTTTCATCTTCTTCTTTTTTTTTTTTATAAATCTTTCTAGCCTCTCCGCATGCGCTTCCGCACATGCGAGAGGCTTTTTTTTTTTTTTTTAATTAAATTTATTTTAGATTTAAAAAAAGATAATGGGTAGTTGTGTTCCTTAAAAGGAGGATCCATTATCTAATTTTTCTTTTAATTTTAAATTTTTTATATATGAAAAAGTGTGAATTTACCATATTATCCTCATTTAATTAATAATTTCATTTATTAATGTTTGCATTAATAAGGACATTTTTTGGTATTTTGAATGTTTCACCATTCTCTGCCTTTTGCTTTATATATATAGATACTAGCCTCTCTGCACGCGCTTCCATGCTTGCGAGAGGCTTTTTTTTAAATTTATTTTATTTTATTTTAGAATTAAAAATAATAATGGGTAGTTATGTTCCATAAAAATAGGATCCATTATCTAATCTCTCTTTTAATTTTAATTTTTTAAAATATGAAAATGTATGAATTTACTATATTATCCTTATTTAATTAATAATTTCAATGCTTTAATTAAAACACACTTATTTTAATTAAAGCAGGATATAATTGTAAAAGAACAAGAGTGGTGCTAAATGAACCCTAAAAATAACTGAGTACACCATACTATCAAACTATTTATTAAATTACTAATTTATCCTAATATAAAATTACCAAAAAGGATATTTTGAATTATGAAATAAATGTAATTTTAATAAGTACACCCTACTCACCATATTCAACTCTACTCAAACATAAACGAAAAACCCTACTCCAAAAACTCTGTTATTTCCTTTTATTGACAATAAAAAGATTAAAAAACCTCCAAATACCAAGCGAGTTCATACGTGCTTACTTGGAATTGAAACTGGAATTCGGTAATTGTGTATTGAAATTCTAAAAAATTGAAGAAAAAACCAAATTCAATTTGGGTGAAAACTAAGAAAATAAAGATTGAAACTTTTGGGATTTGAGTTGAAGAATCTGCTTAACTGGGAAAAATAGATAGAAACCCTATTCCATTATGTGGTTGAGCAAGGTACATGTGCTAATTCATTCAAACTCGAATAAGGGAAAGTGATGTAGAGAGAATTCAAACTCGAACCCGGTAAACATCATTTATTCAATAAAAGAACCACATGGCAATGACGAATAATAAATCACAGAAAAAACAAGGGGCTTTCTACTGCCTTTGAATCAAAGCTCAGCCATGATATCCGAATAATTTAGTATGCCACTTAACCTTGATGAATGTTGTTACCAGATTCGAATGGGTGCTATGTAATACAGTGGATTAGGGTGTATCCGGGGTATTTTTGGTAATTAAATAGGGTGTACTTAGTTAATTTTACATTTTGATTTAAATATTAGGGTATACTTATATCATAGGGTGTACTCAGTTAATTTTAGGGTTCGTTTAGCAGCACTTAAGAACAATTACGCATAACTTTAAAAAAATTAAAATGAAAAGAAAAAGGTACAGACCCTCACTCCAGAGCAGTTGCTCTTCTTATCAGTTTCTTCTGCCTCGTCGTGTTCTAGGAGCAGTTCCAGTAGCAGTTCCTTTCAGTTTGCCCCTCACTTCCTTCACACCCAGTTATCATAGGCCTTTCTTCTTACAGTGTGAAAAACAGAAAGAGGAGCAAAAAAATAGAGAACCACGACTGGGAACAACCACAACGCTCCTTGCCAGCTTCACCAATTTCCCAGGTTTTCCCCGCTTAATTTGTGCCTTCTTTTTATCCCTCTTTTACTGTTGTTTTGGTTTCCTCAGAAAATTTCTCATTTAATTGGGTTCCTTCCCAGCATCTCCAAGAATTAAACACCTATGATTTCAACTGAAAGTTTTAGAAGGTGGTAAGCCTAACAGATCTTTCTTTCTTATTTGTATTATGTTCTTTCTTTGATTGGGTTTTGTGATCTTTCACGTTCAGAGAAGGTTTTAGAGGAAAAGGTGTTTGTTGATGATTTTCCGTATTTCTCTATCGTGTATGTTGAACGGTTCTCATGGCTTTTGTGTTCATATCAGACCCGTGTCCAAATGAAACGGTAAATTACAGTGGGTAATAGATTTTTGAGAAACTTACTCCTTTTGCTGCATGCCCACCATTTATCGGATTGATTTTTATTTGCTATATGAAATGGTAGGTATGAAATTTAAGATATGAATGAAAGTTTGGTTATTCAACTTATATTTGGATTCTTGATTATTCAAGAACAGTTGCTGCAACACCAAGAATAGGGTAGGTGTTTACTCGCATGGTTAATTCGCAGGGTAGGTGTTTGATAAAATGTTTTTGGTTTTGTTCTACGAATTCAAATGACATGGTGGAGTTTTTTTTTTTTTTTTTCCACTCTTTTGCAGAGAATACTTTGAAGAGAAAACAGAGAGATGTTGCAACAAGTCTCATATTTGTTCCTTGGTCGTTCATTTTATGAAATGGTGGGTTTTGTTATTCTTTCATCACGAATTTTGTGTATTTGTTATTATGTTATTTCCTTACTGAGTGCGTTGTTTGGTTCTCTTCTCAGGTTATATAAAGAAGCAATCTGTTTATGTTGTTTTTCTTTTTTTGCCAATCTGTTTATGTTTGCTGCAATGATTGCATTTTTGTAAGAATGAAAAATAGTTTCATCCATATACATTACTGCATTCGAGGAAATGCAACCCTCTTTTTGTGTATTGTTGGCTCTTCATATATAATTGAGATTTAAACTTGCCATAACTTATAGATTGTCTTAAACTGATGACAATGACTACTGTTGCTATATTTCTACTATTATATAGATATATATGTATATGTTGTATATTGTGGATATTGCAACCCCTGCTCACTTGGTTATGTGGAGCAGTTGGTAGCTGAGAACATCTCTTTTGGCCATGACTGTGATATGAAACCCAAGCCAGGAAGGTGAACGGGGTGAAAGGGTTCTAAGACGAGGAGGACCGCATGTATACAGATTATGCTATGATTTTTTTCCTTCTATCTTTTTTTTCTCCTGGGATTCCTTTGGTAGAAGAATTAAAAGCAAAATGAGGATGATAGAGATGGAGGGAGTTCAAGGGGAGGAAAACTGCTAAAGGACTTACTGGCTGTGGCTGTGTTTCTTCTCTTTTTAGAGGTTTGTTTCTTTTTATGCTGATATTTGTTTCTTTGATAGTTAAATTGGTGACAAAGAAGACAGCAGCTGGAGGCTTTTATGTTCAACCAGACGTATGCAATTAGACTGTATTGAGATTGGTTTTAAATAAAGACGTATGCAATTAGTTATTGCATCTGTTTCAAATTTCGTTCAAATGGCTATTTTCTTTTTTAATTTCTATAAACAAACCCAAAAAATGACAGCTGACCCTATTGAATTTAATTTTGATTATTAAATTACTTTGATACCTTATTGAGTATTTTGGGTTTTTTTTTATGAGGTTTTGAGGTTGGACTTGTTTTAAGAAAAATTGATGGCAGTTTTGTAATTTATAAGAAGTTAAAAGCCACTTTGTTATGTTGGATTTAGGGGTATTTCTAAAGTCCATTTCATATAGGGTATAATAGTGAATATCCCTTATCTTTTCTTAATATGGAAGATTATAATCTTCTGAGAAGAATTGCCGGCAATGATTGTGATGGGCTCCGTTGCCTACTACTTTTTTTTTTTATGAAGAAAAGGGGGGAGAAAACCCCCAAACACCAACACAACAACTAACTAGTACTAATCAGACGAGCCTTAACAGCTCCCAAAGAATCAGCAAGCAATAAATGACCAAGCCAATCAGGACTCTCCTCAAGATAGTAACAGCCCAAGTCCAGATTGTGACTCCAAGTAGCCAACCCATCAGCTACATCATTCCTCTCTCTATAGATATGTTGAAGCTTGATCATTCGAAACAAATTCATAAGTCTTTTACAACTACTGACCACCCCAGCATTAGGATGGCAAGCATTCAAAACCTTACTCTGAATAAGAAGCACAGCAGTCTCAGAATCCATCTCAACAACAATATCATCTACTTTTTTCTCAACAGCCAAATTCAACCCAAAAAACAGACCCCACAACTCAGCTTCGAGCACTTCTCCCTGGCCTAAGTTGACAGCAAAGCCACCAATCCATTGACCCACATGATCTCTCAGGACCCCCCCAGCACCAATGGCACCAGTACTGCTCCTGCAAGACCCATCTATATTTAACTTGACCACACCAATATCAGGAGGGACCCAAGCCAACAACACTTGCACCTTATTAGCTCCGCTATTAATACCAACAGTGGCCTGAAACCAATCCTTTGCAGCAGTAAAAATCAAATCTCTGGGGTTAAAAGGCAAATCAGTTTCATCTTTAAAAATAAAGTCATTTCTCCATTTCCAAATATACCAGCATATAAAAACAAACATAATTCTCCATGGAATCTGAGTAAAGTGAGCCTTAGAACACAAATTGCTTAACATCCAAGGATGAAAATCAGTTTGGAAAAAAGGCAAAGCTTGCGTAGAATTCATAAAGAGATCCCAGACCTTTCTAGCTCTAGAACAATCCCTTAAGATATGCAAAGTAGATTCAATAGGCCACTTACAGTAATCGCAGGCGCCATTCCCAATAAGATGCCTTCGAACTCGCTGCTCATTTGAGAGAATTTTCTCCTGGAAAACCAACCAAAAGAAAATTTGGAGTTTAGGAGGGATTCGAAGCTTCCACAGAACTCTCCACCAAGGATTTAGCCAATCTGCCCCTCTTCCATAGAACTCTCCACCAAGGATTTAGCCAATCTGCCCCCTGAAAAAGCAAGCTGTACGCAGACTTGACAGAGAATAACTCATTAGAAGTAGGTTTCCAGATCTGACAATCCTCCAATAAGCCCTGAAAATCAGCTGAACAACCAGTAACTTTTTGGACCCAATCCTCAGGGAGAACACTCCTCAACTTCTCCACATCCCACCAACCATTCACAAAAAAATCAGAGACAAGGGAGTTCAAATTGAGATCAGGAGCAAGATCCACTATCTGCATCAGAGGCACATTACTGATCCATTTATCCCTCCAAAACTTAACCTTATCGCCTTTCCCGAGCCTCCAAATTAACCCTTTGTCAAGCAGATGAGCACCAAACATAATCCCCTTCCAGGTAGGAGAACAATTTTGTTTTGGGACCATATTAGGCTCACAAAAGGAATGGCTCTTAATATATTTCTTTTCAAAAATTTGGGCCCACAACCCCTCATCCTTCCTCAATAATCTCCAGCCAACTTTAGCTAGGAGAGCTTGATTCATATCATGAGTTTTCTTCAGACCCAAACCACCCTTACTTTTAGGTTTACACACCAGATCCCACTGACACAAGTGAATCTTAATTGTGGGTCCTTTGCCCCTTCTACTTCTCCTCTATTATCTTTAGTAAACTAATAAGTTCTGATCAAGTTGGAAGAAGGAAGGACCATATTTCTATCATTTCATCATCTGCTCTAGTCGAATCGAAACTACAGACCCAGCCAGAACACACAGTTGGTATGCCTTTCCAATTATTTTCTTTTAATTAATTGTTTCATTTTTGATTTTATTACCCATGTCGATTTTTCTTCTTCTTTTTTGTTATTTTTATTATGTGTTTTATTATGGCTTCCACTGTAAACTTAGGATTTTGGTGTACTTTGTACAAATTTAGGGCTTCGGTGGTCACTGAAATTTTTTAGGGTTTGGGGATTTAGAAGCACAGCATCTAAA